GGCCTCCTCGGGCCCTGGTGCCACCGGGCCCGGCGGGATCCTGCTCCTTGCTTTGTGGCTCAGGGTGAGCTGCTGCACCCCTCGCCCGGGCCGCCGTGTCTGGCACCAGCGCTCCCAAGGCCTGCGCTTGGCTGCCCCTGCCCTTCCTCCGCCCCGATCTGCCCTTCTGCGGCCTGCAGAAGCCTAAACGGTGCTGTAAACACGGGAGGGAGGGCTGGTTTCAGACATAGGCTGAGTGGGCTTAGCGGTCAGCCTGGTTACGCGACGGAGGTCGTGGGTTACCCACAGGAACGCGGAGCACGGAGGTTTCTGGGGTGTGAGGGAAGGGGTCCTGCTTCCTCCCGCCCCTCAGTACCGGGAGTAGGATCCACGTGTGCTCATTGAGGGGTGTCCGCGGCTTGAAGTTCGGCAGGACCAGAAAGACAGTTTCTGTCCTGGAAATGCTGTGAGAAATGCGAAGTTTGGTCGCTGGTGGTTTGTGATGCTTGTGCCTATCCACCTGATACTGATCTGTGGCATGCTAGTACTCCAGTGTATCTGTATCTTCCCTTAAAACGAGGAGGTTGAACAAGTGATAAATGTGTTGGTTTGTGCCATTTCTGAAAAGGATGAGCAATATGACCCACTAGTTTGCTTTATAGCTATCCTAACCGTAATAGAAAATCTGATGTGGAATTCTAATAACACAGAAGTTGAAATTAAGGAATATGATACAATTCTACACAATATTTTAGTAAAAATAGCTATTCATGCTCTTTAGGGGAGGTACTTGGCTCAGTGCTGAGTGATGTTCTCATTCACACTGGGCTCATGCAGTGTCAAATGGAATTTGCTGCCAGATCTCAAGAAGGGGAAGTCTGTTGAAAAACCTAGGTGAAAGAGATATTGTCTAAAGAGGCTCCAGTAGTAGGTTCTGTGTTGTGCTACATTTTTAGCAATGATCTGCAAGCAGATCTGGACTTGCTGCAGAATTAATGGAGTCCTAAATAATAATGAGATGGATAAGAACTGTTGGTATAAGCATCTCATTTAAGCTTAGTTAATTTTAATCCATCCAAATCTACAGTTGACTACCTTAGGAACCAAGTGTAAAAGCTGTAACAGGAAAATAGAATACACTTTTGGGAATGTGATAACTTTGAGAAGGATTTCAATAAGATAAGGGCTCTCCTGTATTCTGCTATGGCAGAAAAGGATTAACCAGTGTATAAACAAAGGAATAATTTAAAAAATTGGTTGCCTCTCATGTTTGACCTCAACAATGCCATCCACAGTTCTGGCTTTCAGATTTTAAGAAGCACACTGGAAAATTAGAGCAAAAGGGTGAAACCAAATGTTCTGAAGGTTGGAGCAAATGCGTTACACTGGGAAGTTTTAAGAGCTCAGGCTGTTAAAAGTTACCTAGACTGGGAGGTGACTTAATTGTAGCATATAGGAACCTTCCTGGGGGAAAATATGGGATATTAAAGGGCTCTTTAATCTATTGAAGAAAGGCATAATAAGAAGTAATGGCTGGAGGCAAAAGCCAGACATATTTAAATAGGAAATAAAATGCACATTTTTACATAGTTAACCACCAGAACACATTCCCAAGAGAAGCTGAGGATTTTCCATCAATTTGTATCTTCTGTTGAAGATCAGATGTACTTCTGAAAATTATTTTTTCACCAAGCAGAAGATAAACTTTATTTTACTGGATGATTACAGATTGAAATCTGATGGTCTGTGATACACATAGTCTGGTTAATCTTGGTTTGAATTTTAAATGCCAGAAGCAGGTATTTTGTGGATAACCATGAGCATTAGAACCAATTTTTTTGCCTTGAGAGAGCTATGCTCTATAAAAAAGGCTGATACGAATTGAGCTTTTGGCTGCAGAATATACTTATTAAGACAGTATTTAAAGGTTTTAGACCTTTTGCTTCCTAAATTTACACTCCTGAAATTACTTGGAGAAATTTCACTGCATTTGCATTTGAATTTCTGAAGGAATAGCTCCTTACAAGAAAATTTCTGATAAAGTCTGGGTCCTCCATGAAATATTTCACAACATGGACATCAATTATGTAGAATTGCCTTGAGGCCAAGAGAATCAGAATGCACCAAATGAGTCCTGATAGATTTCCTATGTTGTATATTAAATGTATGTGTATGTTGCAAATGTTTGCATTCTAGTATTAACCTCTCTTGAGGTATAATATAAACAATTATATTCTCAACTGAGGAGCTGCTATGGCTGGAAGAGGGAAGAATGAAATATAAATAAGATTCCAGATCAGCAGCTTGGGCGAAAAGCATGAAAAAAACTACGCCTGAAATGGTACATGATCAGTTTTTCTGTCTTAAGAAGGGAAGGTGTTCTGTCATTTCTCTGCCTTCTGCAAAATGTGTGTTGCTAATCCTGCAAGATACATGTGCTTCCTAATTTACATTCCTCCCTTTTTCCTGGCTCTTGAGAAGAAAATGCAAAGACAGGAGCTGAAAAACAAGTTGCTGTCTTCTTTTGTGCATTTTCCCAGAGTAACACCACAAACAATCTCCCCTTAAACACAGAACAAACTGCAATATGTTAATTAACTTAATGATGAATCCTGGAATGAGATCTGAATAACTGTACCAGGAAAAAAAATCTCAGTGATTACCAAGGATAAAGTGAGACTTGTCTTTATAGTATGCATTTGGTAACTTAAAGCAGAAAGAGTTTGTGTGTGTGGTTGAAACTTGTTTACTTTGGCTTTGAACTATTAGTGTGAAAATTAATGTGACGTTAATGCTGAAGTAGCTTTTAAGTCACCTTTGCTCATTTAAAGTAAGTGTTGCAGTGGGCACTCCCAAGAGGAGTGTGGATTTCACCTTGCAACTGGGCTTTACCAGAAAATGTGTCTCATAGATCACAGAATGGTTAAGGTTGGAAGGGACCTTAAAGATCCTCAGGTTCCAACCCCCCTGCTATGAGCAGGGATGCCTCCCACTAGACCAGCCTGCACAAGCCTCATCCAACCTGGCCTTGAACACCTCCAGGGGGGGGGCATCCACAGCCCTCCTAGTTCCTTTGTACTGTCTGCAGTTGGTGGCACTGAAGCTGTTCTGGACACATTTCAGTTACCACACAAGTGCTGGTGGAGCTTGATGCCCGTAACACATACATTTTCCAGAATGCCTGGCAAACCAGCATACTGGCAGCCACCTTCCCACGGGCTGTACATATGTGACAAGACAGCTGTGGGAATTGATGGCAAATGAGGTACAGAATCCTGCTTGCAGCTGCTGCTGTCACTGCCCTGCCCAAATGACAGCAGCAGAACCAAGAGCTCCTTTATGAAGCAGAACATCTTGTTTGGCATCCATGTGTATGACCATTGGTTATTCAGTGTATTTAAGATGCTTGTTCTGCCTTGTGAAACTTTAAACAATTTGAGACCATTTTATATGAGTCATTGGCAGACAGTTGTTTTTCACTCCTGATATAAATGAAGGAGCAGGTGGCAGGGCATTTGCCAGGATTGTGGGACTTGTTTTCTGTCATCTGTCATCTGAACAAGCTTGAATCTGGTCACCTTTTTGTGCAAAAGACATCTGATAGCATTTTGTGAAGAGAATAAAAATTATTTTCCAGCATGATGAAGGATAGAAAGAAAGGAGTATCTGTAGAGGTCTGAATGGTTGGTTTCCTATGGAGATAATTATTCTAATGCTGTTGAGGTTTTGTTATATAAATAAAGATGCCTAGAGTCAGAGGAAAGCTTAATTTTAGACAATTTGAGTGTAACTTAATAAAATGTGCTAGTTGTACTAGGTTCATTGTTATTTTTGAAATAAATTGGTGAGTTGAGTGCCCAGATTTGAGAAGGCTATAGTGTATTTATCTCTAAGATTATTTATCTCTAAGTCTTGAAAAATACATGGGAGAATAAAAAA